ACGCACACACACACATACACATACATATACATACACACATACACATAAACATGCACATACACACACATATATACACATACAGTATATATATATATATATATACACACACATTATGTCTGCATGAGACCTGTTGAACTGCATATTGTTCTGGAATAATATATGGGAACATACTAGTAATTACTTCTAATTTTAAATGATTTGGCAAAACACTCGATGTCAATCAAATCATGACCTTGCAGCGACTGTGTATTTATCACTGTGCATGTTAATGATGTGCATTCTAGCATGTGTTATTCAAGCATTAAATACAAAATAAAAATAAAAAATAACACATTAAAAAATAAAATTGTGCTTATGCTCAGTTATCATAGCTTTTAGTGTTTAGACACTGTGTAAAGAGACACTTTGGAAACGGTAAACATTTCCAGTTTTAATGATGGATAGAGGCCTTTTCCAAGAACAGTAATATAATAACGTCCATAACAATAATAATAACTCTCTCTCTTGTTTGGTTCCTGGCTCGTGTCACACTTAATGGCCATGGAAGACAATAACTAAAGTGCTGTCATGCACAAAAGTGAGAGTTATTTAATATCAACAGAGTTATCTAATAATGTAGGATGGAACAGAACTGTTATGAAGATTAATGGCGTTTCAGTAGTTTTTTTAAGATCACTGTCTATCCAAGATGTACTAAACCAGGGGTTATTAAACTAGGATTAGAGAAAAAACTTTGGAGTAAAACAACAACAACAACAACAGTGTAAATAAACAAATAAACTAATAAATAAATCAATATGTGATAAAACTAACAAATAAAAAATTTAAAATAATGATAATAAAAAAATCCTATTATAAATTTATATTTTAATGTTATAATAATATTTTTAATTAGTATAGTATATAGTATACCCATTTAAGTTAGTATAATCTGGGTCTTTACACATAAAAAAATATACAGCTTTTGTGTAATTTTAGGATGGGGTCCCTCATGTTTAGGGGATCATATTTAGGGGTCCGTGGATTATATAAGATTGAAAACCCCTGTGCTGCTAAATTATGCTGAGGAAACTCTTCTGTGGTTTTGTGGAATGAACACAAATGCATCCATCCAACCTTCACACACACA